AGGAAAAGATGCAGTTGAACGAAAGCGCGCCGCCAAGGCTGGTAGTAGGCAAGCCAAATATAATGGACAGAGAAGGCTTCCTTCGAGATGTTGACGAGATTCTAGACACTAGGATATTTACGAACCTTGGCCCGTTCGCCGCAAAGTTGGAGGCAACAGTGTGCTCCTATCTGAATGTGAAGCACGCCTTTGCGGTATCAAACGCATCTGTGGGATTGGCCATGATGCTACGAGCTTTAGAGCTTCGAGCAGGAGGGGAGGTCATTTTGCCCGCCTACACGTTCATCGCAACCGCGCACGCAGTCATCGAGTGCGGCCTGAAGCCTATTTTTTGCGACTGCGACCCTGAGTCACACCTCATCGGGGTCAAGGAAGTTTCAGCGTGCTTCTCACCTAACACTGTCGCAGTTCTGGCGGTCAATTTATGGGGGCTAGCTTGTGACGTGGAAGGCCTTCGCTCGTTTGCTGAAGAGAACCACATCAGCTTGCTATACGACTCCGCACATTCTTTCGGAGCACGTGCGCCCTGTGGCACGTTTCTTGGAAACTTTGGTGAGGCGGAAGTATTCAGCATGCACGCCACCAAACTGTTTAACAGTTTTGAAGGTGGTCTAATCACGACTAACAGTGACTTGATTGCTAAGAGGCTGGCTCCCATGAGAAACTTTGGCATCACTGGTCAGGATCAAGTTTCGTGTTGGGGATCAAATTACAAACTATCTGAAGTGCATGCCGCTTTCGCCCTCCGTCAGCTGTGCAACATCGAGAAACTGGTCGATTTGTACAAGGAGAACGCGAAGACATACACGAAATTACTTGAGGAACATTGCGTTCCCGGGATACGCAACTGGAACGAATCCTTTCTCAGCCACGAAGGATGCACGCACGCGTATGTGTGCTTTGAAATTCAACAAAACTTTCCGCTTACTCGTGATGAGGTTATCGCACGGCTGCGAGACAACAATGTATTCGCAAAACGATATTTCTTCCCTGGTTTGCACAAATGTCAACCTTATGCAAGACGTTTGAAGGATTTGAAGATACCAGTGACTGAGAAGCTGTGCGAGGAGGTACTTGTGCTACCCACTGGAAGCACAGTGAAAGAGAGCGATATCGAGCGCGTGGTGGATTTACTGAAAAAGTTTTCAAAATCCAGTCCAAGCATAAATAAGCACGTGAACGGAAACACTGAGCACGAGATATCTGTCGACTTCAGCCACTTGCAAGAAAAAATTTCTTACTTGAGGGATTTGAAGTGCAAATATGAAGACCTCACCGCATCTTGCGAAAGAGATCTTTCGTTTCTTGAAGGCCGGCTGACAAGGATATCTTTAAGCCGAGGGGGAGATAGACTGTGAAACGATAACCTCATCACGAGTAAGCGGAAAGTTTTGTTGAATTTCAAAGCACACATACGCGTGCGTGCATCCTTCGTGGCTGAGAAAGGATTCGTTCCAGTTGCGTATCCCGGGAACGCAATGTTCCTCAAGTAATTTCGTGTATGTCTTCGCGTTCTCCTTGTACAAATCGACCAGTTTCTCGATGTTGCACAGCTGACGGAGGGCGAAAGCGGCATGCACTTCAGATAGTTTGTAATTTGATCCCCAACACGAAACTTGATCCTGACCAGTGATGCCAAAGTTTCTCATGGGAGCCAGCCTCTTAGCAATCAAGTCACTGTTAGTCGTGATTAGACCACCTTCAAAACTGTTAAACAGTTTGGTGGCGTGCATGCTGAATACTTCCGCCTCACCAAAGTTTCCAAGAAACGTGCCACAGGGCGCACGTGCTCCGAAAGAATGTGCGGAGTCGTATAGCAAGCTGATGTGGTTCTCTTCAGCAAACGAGCGAAGGCCTTCCACGTCACAAGCTAGCCCCCATAAATTGACCGCCAGAACTGCGACAGTGTTAGGTGAGAAGCACGCTGAAACTTCCTTGACCCCGATGAGGTGTGACTCAGGGTCGCAGTCGCAAAAAATAGGCTTCAGGCCGCACTCGATGACTGCGTGCGCGGTTGCGATGAACGTGTAGGCGGGCAAAATGACCTCCCCTCCTGCTCGAAGCTCTAAAGCTCGTAGCATCATGGCCAATCCCACAGATGCGTTTGATACCGCAAAGGCGTGCTTCACATTCAGATAGGAGCACACTGTTGCCTCCAACTTTGCGGCGAACGGGCCAAGGTTCGTAAATATCCTAGTGTCTAGAATCTCGTCAACATCTCGAAGGAAGCCTTCTCTGTCCATTATATTTGGCTTGCCTACTACCAGCCTTGGCGGCGCGCTTTCGTTCAACTGCATCTTTTCCTTGCGAAGCTTGCGGTATGCCGTGAGTGCGTGCGATGTGCACGCGGTGTGACTGTGAGTTGCACAGAAAAGGGTGTTTTTTTCTTGTTTTTTCGTTAGGCCTGCTGCACCTGGTACACGCTGATCCAGCTACCCTCAGCCAATGGCTATATTCAGTTTCGCTATGTAGTGTTTCCGCAATTCAGGAATGCAAATGCAAAGGGCCTGGCGCCCAGCGAGCCACCTCGCCAACACTATCGAATGAATGCCAAAAGACTGAGGTTCGAGGCCTCGAGGTGCGCGAGAAGAGAGCCTTTCGCGTGCGATTACTTGCTGATGCGTTGTTCGTCTTTACAAGCCTCGTCCCTGAGTGGTCGAGTCTAACAAGTGGCGTCGCAAATGCGACGCACTTGAGCGTGTCGTCGAATTCTAGCAAATGCTTTTCATATAGGCATGGGTTTCAGGCACTTCGTGACGGTCAAATTCTATATTTCATCCACACTATAAGAATATTTGAGAATATTTGAAAACATCGCCGTTTGGGAAAAAGAGAACCGATGAAAACCGCTATGCGTACAGCCGAACGTGTGCACGTCTAGGTTGGTCGCATCACGATCTATGAGTCGTGATCAAGGACGATCACACTTTCCAATCATTATTACCCGTGGCGAATGTGACAGCGTACGATATAGACAGTAACTGGTTGGATAGCCCACCACAGCATTCACGGTATCAGTACGTATCAGGCCAAGCAGGCCTACACGTGTCTCAAGAATCTAATAAAAAGACGAGTTTCGTTTGTTTCGAAGCGTGAAACCTGGCGAGTACGCGTGCAACGTATGTGAATGTCTCATCCGCGAGTGTCGTGACGAATGAAGTCGCGACGGCATCGATATATACTAGGTTCGTCGCGTCCACGGCGGTGGTTGTTCGGCATTCTGTCTCTACTGCTCTTGTGTACGCCCCTCCGCGCGCTGAGATATCGCCAGCTGCGAGTACCGAGTGAACCGCAAGGTCACGTCGTGATCGCCGTCGTTCAACGAGAGGCACGTTTCCTCCCCGAGTGGCTGGAATATCATCTCTGGCTCGGATACACGCACTTCTACTTGTTCAATCAAGACGACGACGCGGAGATCCTGAGCGTGTCACTGCGAGCGTACACAGCCGCGGGCGTCGTGACCCTCACGCCGTGGGACGTCGACCAACGGGCCACGGCCTATCTCGAAGCGCTGAAACTGTATTCGCACAAAGCGCGTTCGATGACTTTTTTGGACGCGGACGAGTTCGTGACGTTGCCCGCTGACGTGCGTCTACCGCAAGCTCTCGCTCAACTCGGTTTGTTCTCAACGAAAAAGTGTGTGGAGCTCTTTAGGTGGAACTACGGCAACGCTGGAGCGGATTCAGCGACCGTACAGCGGAACGGCGTACTACGTACGCTGACCCGTCGTGCCGGATCTATTGAAATAGCGCGCACGGGTAAAGTAATACTGAGGGGCGGAACATCTGCGCGTGAGCGTTTCATGATTACATGGAAATTTATACCTCCAGGTTGGTGGCATGGATGCGACAGCTTGACGAGGAAAACATTCGCGGTCACCGCGAGGTCCAACGATGCTTACTTGGCGCATTTTCAATTCCGTTCCGGGAAAGATAGTCTCGCGAGACGCTCGGAGAGCGCAACAATGGCTGATGTCAAGAGCCAGGCAATTCATGCGAACAAAACTATAGCGGATTACGCACATCGTAACGACGTATTTGACGATGCTTTGTCGAGACGAGCAGATCTCGTCGCACAGAGCATCGCTAGGTCTTGTGCGTGCACGAACGCGCTAGGACGCACACTGCGCTCGCCGTCGAATGCGCCTGTTAAAAAGATTCGGTCGTCCGCAGCTATGGTCGTGTTCATACACGTGTGCCCGCGTGGGCGCTGGCGAGATATACTACTGGACATGCTCGTGGAGATACGAGAGGTGGGGCTGCTCGATGTGGCGCGCTTAAAAATTGGTGTTGTCGGCGACGTAAAGGTTGTGCAAAAGTTTGCGGTGGGATTACAAGGCTTTGACTTCGAGCTCTTACATCTCTCCCGAAATCCCATGCACTGGGAGCTCCCATCTATAAACTATTTGCGCGAGTTCGCGCGCAGCTCGAGAGATGCCGGCGACGAAAGGTACGTGCTGTACATGCACACGAAAGGAGTTCGCGATCACAGCGACTTTGCCGCAAAGTGGCAGTGGCGCAAAGTCATGCAAGCCGCGGTGGTGCGACGTTTTCAACAGTGCGTCGAACTCCTCGACGCCGGGTTTGATGCGGTGGGGATAAACGCGGTGAACATGTTCATGGAGGGGCACGAGCACACGGTGAAGGTCAATCAGTCGCACGCGTGGCACTACAGCGGTAATTTTTGGTGGGCCTCGACAGCTCACATGGCTCGGCTTCCCTTCCTCTCCCTCGATCACGCGATCGATGAGTTCGAGCGATGTAAGGCTGAAAACTTCATCCTATCCGCGATTCCGAGCATGTGCGCCGCCCTGCTTTGGCAAAACGTGCGCACTCACATGTACTCGACGAGCGACCTCCCGAGGGGGCGCTTTGACGACGGTGACACTACGGTCAAGATGGTTGGATGTAGAGGGTACGAGCACGATTTTTAGCAAAGTTATTATCGAAAGCACGTGAAAATGACCAGTAATACCCGGCGATGAAAATGTTGCATAGGTCTGTCATCGCAACTTGCCCAGTCTTCGTCGCTAAGTGCGCCGTCTTGGCGAACGCAGCTCGGTCGTCATCGCTCATGTGACGCCTCCCTCGCGCTTTCACGCGGCGCGGAGCCTTGAATGGGCTCAACAGAGGACCGAGGACTGTGCGCGAGGGTGTTTTCTCACGCTTCCGCAGCCTCTCTTTAGTCTGATGTGCTTTCAAATCTTTTTCAGTGGGGACGTCTTCTTGGTCCAGTCGCTGCGCCGGATCCAGTGCGAAGGCGGCGTCCACGTACGTAAGCAAAGATTGATCAGTCGTCAAGTGAGGACTGGATGCACAGACGATTCGATATGCCAATCTGAGGGCGTCAAAGCCAACGGGAACAGACAACTCGCCCACACACGCCTGCTCCGTCGCACCCCACGTGATCTTCCCGTCGTTGTCCCCGGTGCTGGGTGAATAGCCGTTCTTCGAGTTGACGACGTACAGTCTGCTGAATGTCTGAGCGTAAAGCTTGAGTGAAGCTTTCACGCCATCGCCCTTTGAATAGATCTTTGATTCGACGTGCGGTGCCGTCCGCTGCGTCACAGATTCACGTGCATTACCTGGTAGCTTTCGCCCATCCCCACCGTCAGACCACGAGCACAGCCCGAGATCGTCGAGAGCGTGGATTATGGACGAATACGCCCGCGCTGCTGCGTTCTGTCGTTCGACTAACTTCGATTGACAACCCTTCTCACGCACTGCGTGTTGTCGACAAAGGAGAGCGCAGACGAGCTCGCACGGGAGCCAGTTCGGCGATCTACCCCTCTTGCCGGTCGGTGGCGCCTCCTGTTCGCGACCGGTGTCGACGTTCTCGTCGCCGTAAAGGTCGTCGTTCTTCCTGTCTGCGTCGTCTGCGTCCTGACTCGGGTCGAGCGACGCGTTGTCGCGCGCGTGCGGCGTTCGGGGCGTCTGGGACATCGCGCGCGTGGAAGTTACGACCGAGTTACGAAGATTCGGGGGTAACAGCAGAATTTCATAACTTGGGCCTAACTCGACCCCCTCGAAATTAACTCAAGGATTGACTCGTCCCGAGTTATGAAGAAACGTGAAAATTCTTCATAACTCGGGCCCGAGTTAGGAGGATTTTCACGTCATTTTCATAACTTTAGTGAAAAAAGCTTGCTGTTACCCCCATTTTTCTCATAACTCGGACTTAAAGTTATGAAAATGGCTTGCTGTTAGTCGCCCTTATCTCGGTCATGGGATCTGCCTAAATCCAGCCTTGTTTTGGGGAGTGTGTGAAACGACCAATCATGACTCAAGAGCTATTTACGTATAATACAGAAAATATATGGATGTGTTACCAGGGGTGGCATTTCTCCTGTTTTACCTTGTTACAAATTTCGGCAAGTTTTCGCAACACGCGACACGTGTGCGCGGATAACGCGCCGACGAGGCAGGGAGGACGTGCGCATGCTTCGCCACACGTAGTATCCATCACACACTATCGGATCATTGACGTTCTCACGAGAAGAAATCGCGCAGTCGAATGTAGAAGGTAGAACAACCTCACTCTGACAGAGCCGTGAGGAGACACCTTGAATCCTGCCCAAACCCTAGATAAACCCTAACAAAACCCTAGTTAGGGTTGATGACACATGCACAGCACGTGCAATACGCGCTGACACCACAGTTAAGTGGATACGATGAACAACACAAGGCGCTCAAAGTCCTTTCCGAAGCCCGTAACGCGGATGAAAGCGACACGTCGAGCGCTTGTGCGCGTAGAACACTCGCGAGAAATAGACACCTAAACCCTATGTAGGGTTTAGCTAGGGTTTAGCTAGGGTTTAGACGTGGTTTCTTGAGAGCTTGGCGTGAGTACCAGAGCGCGAGGAACTGCGTGAGGACGTCGCTATGTCCGTCGTATGCCACAGAAACTGGATGAATCTGATGTAACATGCATGTATTTACAACTATTCATCGCGACGCACGTCCTCCCTGCCTCGTCGGCGCGGTATCCGCGCACACATGTCGCGTGTTGCGAAAACTTGCCGAAATTTGTACAAGGTAAAACACAAGTTGGAGTACCCCGATCATACTGTTTACCCATACATGACGTGACCGATTATGACTCAAGAAAAGGTGTGCACAACCATGACCGAGATTAGTCAAAATCCACGTGAAAATTCTTCATAACTCGGGCCCGAGTTAGGAGGATTTTCACGTCATTTTCATAACTTTAGTGAAAAAAGCTTGCTGTTACCCCCATTTTTCTCATAACTCGGACTTAAAGTTATGAAAATGGCTTGCTGTTAGTCGCCCTAATTAGTCAAAATCCGGGCCCGAGTTTCTTCATAACTCGGGACGAGTCAATCCTTGGGTTAATTTCGAGGGGGTCGAGTTATGCCCGAGTTATGAAGTTCTCTGATTCACAGCGTCGTCGCTGATAGTGCTCAGCCGCGAGAATTCAGGCCAAGCGGGCCTAATTTTTGCAGCCTTCAAAAGTCAAACTCCGTTTCTAGCAGTCGTTTCAAGCACTTTTGCAAACCGATACTTATCGACGCAGTACACGTGTATTCCTCCGGAGCTTCATTACTTTCGCGTTTTCCACTCAGATCATATCATGTTAGCAAAGTGATACGCTCGACGCTCAAAGCCATTCGTCGAGTCATGGGACGACTGAGTCTACAAGAGCAAGCAAGCAAGGGAACTAGGAGAGTGAGGTACGCGAGGACCGCATGGGGGACGAAAATATGTTGTACTTTCTTCGTGTTGAATGCGTTGATTTTATGGGCGCGTCACCGGGAAAGTACCCAGTGCGAAGAGTGTACTCGTTCCTCATATAATATGGCGAGTGACATTCAGCACGAGTCTCGTGTCGTATCAGTTGGTTTCTTTTTGCAGCTCGCTCAGTCGGTGAACGATGGCCTTCTCAAGTCTTGCTTCGACAACTTGATGAAAGTACAAAGTGACTCCGTTCAATTGCAACTATACCTGAGTTTGACTCCCACAGTGGCAAATGCTCCAGAGGTTGCATACTTCACGGAACGTTTTCTACGCAACGAGAAAAATATACGTGTTGTACATGTGAAGGATGAAGGCTATGACATTGGTGCTTTTCTTAAGCAGTTGCATCGTTTTCGTCATGAGCTTCAAGTGCATCAATACATACTCAAGGTTCACAGCAAATCGGATCCAATATGGCTTGAGAGAGCTGTTGAAAGCCTGTGCGGTAGCGAACACCAAGTAAAATCAATTTTAAAAGCGTTTGAGACGCAGTCTACGTTGGACATCGTCTCACCCATGGGCTCCACGTTCAGCGCAACTACGTCCAAAGACGCAGTCTTCCCTCACCTCAAGCGGAAATATTTCAATAAAGTCGACTTAGCAACCGCTTTCGACGATAAAACAATGCACACGATGGAAAGGCTCTGTGCGCAACTTGGTTTGGAGGCATGCCCATATTTCGAGAAGTACTTGGCTAGTATAACTGCAGGTACAATGTTTTGGGCGCGGAACTCGCGCTTGTACACGGAACATCTTCCAAGGCTATTCGAATCCATAAGGAATGAGTTATCTCAGGATTATTCCAATAACAATCGAATAGAGCACGCCTTGGAAAGACTCATTCCAACATTATCTCGATTAAACGGACGCATGATAGGGGATATTCAACCTGCTCCAAAACCAGTGGCTCTTTATTTTCCCCAGTATCACTCATTCTCGGAAAATGATCGCTTCTGGGGTGAAGGTTTCACCGAGTGGACGTTGCTGAACAAAACTACTTTTTTCGGTGTACATAAGCCTTTGGACTTTGAATCTGGTGGTCTTGGATATTATAATCTTTTAGACAAGAAGGTTCGCGCACGGCAGGCTTCTATCGCTCGTAGCCATGGAGTGTACGGTTTCTGCTACTATCATTATTGGTTCTCTGGTGAAGGGGCTCCGCACGATCACAAAGTCATGTATCAGGTTTTAGAAACCATGCTTGAAGATCAAGAACCGAACTTGCCTTTCATGCTTGCTTGGGCGAATGAGCCGTGGACGAAAACATGGACTGGAATGATAAAGTCGAAGCATGCTTTGCTCATAGACCAGAAGTATGGTGAAGAAGACGAATGGCGCGAACACTTCGTGTATCTCTTGCGTTTCTTTCAGCACCCAAACTACATTCGTAATAACGGGAAACCAGTATTTGCCATCTATCGAACTGGGCATCTTAAAGAGAAACTCAGGCCGATGATAACTCTTTGGAAACGAATGGCGGTGGACTCTGGTCTCCCAGGGCTTCATATTGTAGACAGCATCAATCATTTCTATACATCCATGATAGATAAGGGTTTCGATGTGAGCGGTGTTGTCGATGCCAGCTATCACTTCATGCTAGACGAACCCGCATCTATGAGAAATTTACCCTCAATGTCTGGTTTTGATAAAATTCAGTATTGGGGTAGCACGGTAAGATTCGATCGGCGACCGCGCTCCGGCGACTACAACTTCCCTATTCTGCGCACTCCACAAGAGTTTGGTTCAGCCTACTCCGCGATGATTGCGCGTTTGTCTACGATGCCTGGACGAGAAATTGACGTTGGGTTTAATTTCATATGTGCCTGGAACGAGTGGAATGAGCAGGCGGTCTTGGAGCCTGATGAGTGGTGGGGTTTCCAACGTCTTCAGGAAATTCTTAAGGTAGTGAATAACGTGCCAGTAAGAGCTGTGTTTTAGGGGTATTATTTAACTCCTTTACTTCGCGACTCGCGCGCGCGCGCAAGAACGACTGAATGCGACAATCGCCTCCATCGCTTTAGCAATCTAGTTTTCAGCATAATACAAGTAAGCGCTGGCGCGTGGTCACCAGAGTACTACTCTCCGATCAAGACTCATTCGTTATCCAAATGATCTTGTCCTGCTCGCGCGACGCGCGTTTGCCTTTACTATCATTCTCCATATTAGAGCCCTTTGAAGATAGGAAAGAGCCGACTCTTTCCATCAAAGCGGCCTTCCCACTGACGGTTTTCGTCCTCAGAAAAGGACTCTGTCAACTGTGAAAATATGCACTTGTCAGCTTGTGCACGAGTGAAGCGTCGTTCACGCTTGACGCTGCTGCTCGCTTTCGCTTCTCTGATCGTTTGCAATATGCAGAGCGCACGCAAATCACTCGTTGGATCAGCTGTTGGTAACCGTGAAAGAATTCTCGTCACTGTTGCTTATGCTGAAAACCTGGGTAACGGCGGTGTATTAGATCGACATAACTTGGAGTACTTCTTCCAAGTGGCTTTAACAGAAACGGTACCGGGCACAATCGACATCCGCGCCAAAGTGGACTACATAATAGTTGTGAATGGCGAGTTGTGCACACCCTGTGACGTGACGCTGCGATATCTTATCGACAGTGGTAGAGTTGATCCAGCACGTGTAAACGTGCTGTACCGGTCGAATGTTGGTATGGATTTTGGCGCATACAGTGAGGCTGTCAAATATGTACAATATTACAAGCCACTGTTGTATACTTACTTCGTCTTCTTGAACTCTTCGCTTCGGGGTCCTTTTATGCCGAAATGGACTCCTAGAAGCTTTCACTTCACCGATACTCTCATAGATTTCATGCGTGCGGATCATGAGGTCAAGCTAGTGAGCTCTTTTGTTTCATGCTTGCACACCCCAGAGCCTCTTCCAGGACCAGTCGCCGAGTCACTGTTTTTTGCAGTTTCCAGAGATGCGCTCAGCTGGTTGCAGAGAGACGGAGTCCTTGACGTACGACAAAATAAATCCGATGTAATTCTCAACGGAGAATATGGATTGATGCATGCCATCTTGAAGCGAGGCTACAAAGCAGAGAACCTACTGAGTCGCTACGGAGTCGGACTGGATTGGTCTGATACGAAGCACCACCTTTGTAATGACTGTCGCCATTCCAGTCGACGAGGTTCTCTTGAGGGGGGAATAAGTGCTAGTCCTTTCGAAACTATTTTTGTCAAAGCTTCTTGGTGTGTTCGTTCGGCTGAAATAGGAATCATGTCAAGTTGGTTCACACGACTAGCGTCGGGTGCACCAGGCACCGAGGGATTTTTCGACGAGGACGGTTGGAGACGCGGAATATCTGTTGAGGGTACTAGTGGTAAGCTGGGTACTTTACCACCAGATGTGCCTATGGATGATTGTCCAAATGGTAACTTCAACGCATTACTTGTGAACAGTGCAAAAATTAAGGCCGATGCTGAATAGGCGATAGTATAGTTTCCCCTCTCGTAGTCTAGGTTGGGTAAATCACCATCTATGGGTGGTGATGGTGATTTCAAATCACTGTTCGTCTTCACACGCCTCGTCCCTGAGTGGTCGAGTCCAACAAGTGGCGTCGCAGCTGCGACGCACTTGAGCGTGTCGTCGAATTCTAGCAAATGCTTCTTATTATAGCCATGTAGGGTTGGGGTTCACCCCGTGCAGTGCCATGTATGGCGACGTACCAAGGGTGTCGGTACGGAGCATGTTGATTTGCATCGCAGCGAACATGTCGTAGTTGGCAAAGTCCGAGGCGTTACATCGCTCAAGCTTGAGCGTGTAAGACCGGATCAGTTGTTTTATGAGCTTAACCCTCGCTTCAACTACGCCGTTCTTGCTCTGCGTGTAGCCAGGGGAGGCGATGTGCGCCGTTCCGTACTGACGACATAACGTATCGAACGCAGATGTGAACTCGGAACCTGAGTCCGAATGTATCGCGAGGATTTCGCGGTTGCACTCGGGCTCATTGTGAAACTTACTTGTCCTTCTTGCCCGAAGTTCTCGTGATAGAGGCAGTTGCTCGGCCTTCCACCTGCTGAACGCTAGTCCGACGTCGACGGACCTCTTGGAGTAGACTGGTTCTACCCAAGAGAATCTCGTCAACTCGTCGACTATGATCAGCAAGTGGACCGACGCGAGACCGTCTCGATTCTGGGTCGGATATTTCCCCAGGACGGGATGGGTCCCCTTTTTTCTGGATTCTCGCGCGACACACTCGATTGTATCGACATACACCCTCTGAAACGGCCTTGTAGCCAAAGGCTCGCGACGAGGCGCGAGTCGATTCGGCGTAGGCATCTTCGATATCTGACAGGATTCACATATCCACCCAGCTGACACCAATTTATCATATTCTTTACGCCAGGGCATGCCGAGGTCTTTAGCGATCAGGCGCATCGCGCCAGGCGCGCGGTGCCCTAATCGAGCGTGTAGTGCGGAAAATTCCTGCGCATGATCACTTTCCACTACGCCGACCATGGCATTCGTGGATGATTGGCGCTCACCAGGCGCCCGCAGTCACTCCAACATCTCCGACAGCCGGCGTCGGAGCGACAAGTTTTTTTCATGACACGGTGCGAGCTTTTCGATGTCCGATTGCGAGCACCAGGTCAGATCAAGCTGATTCTGGGATCGCCTCCCATTGAATTTCGCCGTCATTTCCACACGATACCTCGGATCTCGCAGAGCCCCAACGGCTCCTAGTCGGACCACAAGATCGCCCGCCTTGTTGATCAACGAGTGAAAACCGCCGTCGTGCGTGAAGGATTGAGTTGCGATTAAACCCAATCCGGATGTATGCAATGATGGTACGACGGCAGCGTCGAAACGGATGGTGCGGTAGCCAAAATGAGCTCCGTCAAATGCGCGAACGTTCGCGTAAGCTATTCCGACATGTGTAACGACGGTAGTGCCGCCGACGCCCGAGATACGTATCGGTGCTTCCAACTTGACGAGAGTTCTGCGATCGATCCCCTCGATGGTGGGCAAATAACTGAAAACTGCCGCACCCGTGTCCAGAATGTAGTCGGTTCGAGTTGTCGGAGTTGTCGTGAGCGCTGTGAGCGGGCCTAGCGCGTACGCGCCCTTTGCCGACTTCGGCGTCTTCGTCGTTCTGTCGTTAGTGAATCTGAGCGGATTATCGTCCGACAGTAACCCGATCCGGAGAGGTGCGGTACATTGGCGTCGAATGTGGCCCATGCCTTCACACGACATGCACTTACCCGGATTCTTCTTGATCCATGCCGCGAACCTGTCCATCTTGGAGTCCATGTCTCTCCTCCTCGGTGGGCCGCGGGGGGCGATCGCCGCGGCGATCATTGGCAATTCGCGATACGCGGATGATTTGTCTTCGATCTCCGTCTTGAGCGCAAGGCGGAGGTGATCCAGTAATTGCTTTAGATCGACCACTTCTCCATCCGCATTCGAGAGAACTGATTTACTTCGTTCAAAGTCACGAAAAAGTGTCATCAGCCTCGTTGTATCGAACACGTTCAAAGCGATGCTCACTCGATCCCCCGGCGACAGAGGATCGAGGTCGAGGGATGCCAGTACGCTGTCACAGACGACGTAGTACCTTTCCAGTTCGCTAAGAATACCTAACAAACTGGTGGCAGAGCCCTCGCCGCTTCTCTTAACTCGGACATTCATGAGCCGAGTAAGGACGCCGCTCACTCGCGCGCGTGTCAGCGACACGGCCGAGTAAGCTGTCATCAGACTCGAGAGGGGATGTAGCTCCGTCTGTTCCTCCCTCTCGAGTGATAACTTTAGCGAGTCTCCCTCGCCTAGGGTCTTCTTCAGTCTCGCGATTTCTGCGTTCGCTATCGAGAAGGTCAGTCTATTTACCCACATGGGTAGGGCCGCGTCGTCGCCGTCGTCATCGTCACTTTCACTTAGTGTCTTCTTTATCGATTCGGGCATGAATCCCTTCCTCATTTCCTCTAGTTCCGACCTCCACTCGTTCTTCTGGTCATGGCATGCTCGTATGAGCAATTCGGTCGCGATCGCTTGTGCTCGAGCTTGAGCGCTCTTCGGCACGGCGGTATCGCGTGCGGCGGTCCCCATTTCGAGGGATCGTCGCATTTGCCTGGCCGAGTTCAACTGTTGTAGAACTCGTCCCAGGGTTGTTACCTTCACATCGCTATCACCGTGTGTGAATGGCGTGCTCAGGTAGGTAAACGGGACCATTGCTAGTCCCATGGGCTGGCGCTCCCTTTGGAACTTCCCTCGCCTCAAACGCTGATGTCGTTCAGCTGACCGTTGTCGTGTCGTCGCGCCGTGACCCCCTGAATTGTCGATCTATAGATGATCGGATATCAGTAACCCCTCGAGACTAGAAAGGCTTTAAGGGATCTAGTCTGATAAAAGACTTTGACTCCTTTGGTCCTTACTAGCCCTGAAAGGGCGCGAGCTCGCTCGGGATCGGTTACGCGACTAGACGATTTAGCCGGTCAATACGGATTCTGCTGTCAATAAAAAGATTTATTTGGTCTCTTTACAAACACGCTCGGTTGGGCGCTGCAGAATGGCCCCATGCATGGGCGCGATCGCGTAGCACTCGTACGCGATAGCGCGAGGAATATTCCCAAACTCAGAGGGTATATTCCTTTCCTTCTCCTCAGTTCGAAAACCGTGACGCATGTCTGTTTCAGGTCGTGCAGAGTCCACAGGGACTTCAGAAAGTGCTCAGATCTTATAAATGCCTCGTATGGTTAAACAGTATAAAGTGTGTGACTTATTCATCTGGGAAGTGTCTACATATTTCGCCTATTTGTATCACTATCGCTCTCGTAGTCGATTGTGATAGTCCAAAAGAACGTATAAGTATTACACACAGGAGTAATCGAGCGGCGTCTGTGCAGGCGCGCCGCGGGCTGGTCGAATAGGCTTGGGAGGTACCGGAATAGGGGTCAAGGTCGACCCCCGGGACTGAGCATTTTGACAAGGACAGCCGCCTATCGATCATCTTAAGATCGTTTAGGGCAGACATCCGTCTCGATTCAGTGATCTAAGCAGGCAGGAACGTCATTCCAGACAGGTTCCAGGGCCAGAGGGCGGATCGAAGTACCACTCAAAAACTGATCGCGGGACGATCTTGAGGGGGGGGGGGGTACCGCGCAGCACCACTAGGCGTGCGGAGCACGAGTGGGATTCCAAGAAAACAAAGAAGAAAAAAGAAAGAAAAGACTCCAGATGGACCAGTACAAGTACCTCGTGACACCCTTCTGGCGCGGGAAGAAGGAGCTGACATCGACGGGAAGAACGTTACTGTCCGCCCACTCGGCGCGGCAGATGACGGCGTACGTCCAATCGGGGGCCGGGTACAAGGGGGCGTCGTCCAGAAATCCCACCACGCAGATCTTGGCGGAAAAGCTCGCGCTTGATGCCATTCAACTGGGTCTGTGCAAGCAGAAAAAGGGGACGTTCGTCGGCATGACGCCAGACGCTCTGTTCGAAGCGGTGAACGAGTGGGGAAATTTGCCGGTGGTAAAAGCAGAGTCAGAAGGCGATGCCAGTGATGAGGACTCAGGTGAAGGCACCGAAACCAGCGTGGCGACCGGGGTAAAGGCGGCTGAGCACTTGGCGAGGAAGCTGCTCATGTCAGCCGCGTCGGCGGAGATAGCGCGTCTTAAGACCGCATTGCCCGGAGATCTTTTGATTTCCGAGCTCGATAGGGCGAATTCGAGCTTCGAAAGCAACGGTTTCACCTCCCTTGGTCGTGCTTATGGAGCCACGAGGGCGAAACAAAATGAGGCCAATCGGGTCGGCAACACCTTGAGGAACGACGTGCTACTGCCGTCGACGGCGTTGTCCGGCGCGTATTCCTGTGTCGCAGCGCTTGCTGAGTTACGGAGATACGTGGCCGAGTCCGATTGGACCTTGACCTTATGCGGTCTGCCAGTTCTCAGTGAGCTTGACAAAAAAAACCATCCTGTTACGCGCTACTGATGGCACAGTGATACAGGAAAAGTTGGCCGAGATGAACAGAGTGACGTTAATGAGCGACGTCGCAGCGGAAGCTACTGGTTTTGACAAGTCCGTCAAATACCTGGATGCCGTCTTCCGCGCGGAAGCGGCTCAGGAGGAGCTTGTTCAGCGACCCGGAACGAAGACCGCCCCCATCGTCGTTGGCAACGCTCGCAGCGAGCGTGCGAAGGGCCGCGAACGTCGGGAATCTTCAGGTCGCAACTCCACCAAGGTCACTGCGAAGCCAAAACCAGGGACGGGGGAGAGCCGAGCGACGTTTTACGACTTCATTAAGTCAAACCCTGGCGACTGCTTCAAGTGCAAACAAAAAGGACATCTCCAAAAAGATTGCCCGTCAAAGTCGTCGAAGAACGGTGAGAGCGAGACGCGGAACGGTGGAGCATATGTCTGTCTCCCGGCAGCGTACCGCGCCGCGCCTACCACTGTGTCCAACATTATCTTGGATACGGGGGCCGCTGCAGTCTCATACGTCACGAAGGATGAAGGTTTCGATATCCGGACGCGGGTCACCACCGATGCGATCGTCAGTGGCATCGGCAACGGTGCTGTTTCTGCGTCACATGGCGGCACCGTGTATGCGAAGGTACCAGCGACCGTCTACCTCCCGGACAGCAGACAGATCGAACAAAAAGAGATTGTCAGGTTCGATGCTGTGCTCGCGCCGAAGTTGGTGAAGGGTGGCACGGGCCTCCTCTCTCTCGCAGGTTTCGTGCATGATGGCGGCGCTAACGCCCTCATTCGCAAAGTGGATCCACAGGTCGACCCGGATGACATGTGCCTCCAGTTGGGAGCGGTGGGTGCTCTCAAGGATCGCGTGATGTCGTAATTCTTCTTCATCTCACGCATGACTGTCTCGAAGCTGTATGAGTTGGTCCCAAGCTAAGAAAATCGTCGACGTACAGAAGAATCACGCTCAAGTGCGTCGCAACCGCGACGTCACGTGTTGGACTCGACCACTCAGGGACGAGGCTTGTAAAGACGAACAACTCATCAGCAAGTAATCGCACGCGAAAGGCTTTCCTCTCGCGCACCTCGAGGCCTCGAATCTCAGTCTTTTGGCATTCATTTCGATAGTGTTGGCGAGGTAGCTCGCCGGGCGCCAGGCCCCTGATTTGCATTCCTGAATTGCGAAAACACTGGGTAGTGAAACTCAATATAGCCATTGGCTGAGGGTAGCTGGACCATACACCGGTACGCTGGTACGGTGCAAGCGTGTACCAGGTGCAGCAGGCCTACACGACCCATACATCGTGATTCAGCCAACCTAGGAGTGGAGCTGGCTTCATATACGAATCCACGAAAAAGACCCAGTCGCGTCGTCGACGCGTCGACGAGGCTGTATTCACCTCGTTGAGTGATGTCATCGCGGCCTCAATGGACAGCGCGAAGGAACGAACCTGTTGCCCTGAATCACAACTAATTTCCGACCGTTGCGAGGTTTTCTCACGTCAAACGTCGTCGTCGTGCCGCGCACGCCGTCGGCGCATGGATCAATTGAACGGCCTGTTCCACGTTCACTAATGACACCTGAAGCTTCTATCACGTCGTTACGATACAGTCACTGGTCGCGTTAACTGCGTCTTGAACGCTCAAGATGCAACTTCGTACAACTAAGGAGCGAAAACAGCGCACGAAGCTCTGCTCGCAACGTGTGTGCGTCCCTTTACTTGTTGCCCACTATTTTCTTCTCAGCTGGTACCGACGGATCCGAGAGTTGAGGCGTGTTTCGCAAACAGTGGCAAGCGGAGTACTCGTTAGCTACGTGTATCACGAGAACGAAAACGGAACTTTCCGTGAAGTACGCAACAAACGTCGAAACCTGCACATTTTCGTCAAGAAAGGATATATAGACGATGCGCGCTACACATTCATTTTCACCATATCTGGTAGATGGCCCTCCACGAAAGAGTTCTTCCACTCGATCGGCACGCACGAGGAAACTTCGATACTACCAGTCAGCAGTAATGTGATCACTGTGACGCGTAGTTCGACAAAATTATGCTCTGACCTATGCCACCATGGACGAACATGTGATAAATACAAGGCTTCGTTCGGTGCGTTCGTGTTCTTGAACGATGGCGTGCGTGGGCCTTTTACTAGCGTGGCGTTGAATACGAACTTAGCACTTGGATCATGGTTGTATCAATTTTTAAGACTCGCCACTGATCCACGAGTATCTGTTGTTGGGTCAGCGGTAAGTTGTGAAATTAGCTGGCATGTTCAGACGTATTTTATCGTCATTAAACGCGCTCTTGTCGACGACTTGTTTAAAATGTGGCTCAGATCGTGCTCTGAACAGGACTGGTCGAGAATGGTGCGTGATTTTGAAGTGGGTCCGAGTCAGACTTTTCTTGAACGAGGTTTCGCGATAGCGTCGCCATCATCAGGAAGAGTAAATATATTTACTGGGACGATACCTCAAACAAGTTGTCGGAATCCTTCCACTGTTCACGTAGGTCTTGAAAAAGGACTGATCTTGAAATATGGGGGAGAGGTGTTCCGAAAACATTTTATACACAGTCAAACTATGGCGGACGTTGCGAATTGGACGATGTTGAACTTTCCATACCTTTATACCGAGTGACAGTGTTGAGTGACAGTTTTGTCACTATTGATCGATAGGCGGCTGTCCTTGCCAAAATGCTCGGTTCCAGAGGTCGGCCTTGAACCCTATTCCGGTACCTCCTAAGCCTATTCGACCAGCCCGCGGCGCGCCTGCACAGACGCCGCTCGACTCAGATCACGTGTAATACTTATACTAATTTAACGTTAGTCGTTCTTTCGACTATCACAATCGGCTACGAGAGCCCTTCGAAGATAGGAAAGAGCCGAGTCTTTCCATCAACTATCCACGGCCACAGGTTCAACAGTTGGACGCGGAGATGCGATACGTGGAGATGGATCGAGTGCAGTTGGCGTGAGTATTTTTAAAAACACAAATGTGTTACCTATTCAGCGCCTAATTGGGATACGAGTACCGCGCGCCCGGTTGATCTCAAAGACGTGTTTGATGAGGGCGCTTCGGATGTCCAACAAACCAGGAAACGTCTGTTCGAGCTTTTTCGTGTCGAGCATATTGTTCGATCGCGGAGCCGCGAGAATTTTGCTCTGTTCCTCGAGCGTAAAGTTTTCCCACGTAAATTCGCCGTCGCAGTACTCTCGGTACAGTTGTAAGACTTCGTTGTGAGATACGACGCCGGGGTTTGTGAAATTGTAAATTCCGGTGAGTTTCCTCAGCGCTCCATCGATCGCGAGAGGGACGAGTTCGTTCAAAACCGTCATCGAGTTCGGTACGTCAACCACTTTCTCGTAGTTGGCGATTTTGTAGATGAAGTTTCGAGGATTGAGCAAGTCGTCGTCAATCGGCATCCGCAGGCGCAACTGCAAGACGTTGTCGTACTGTTGAATCAATTCCTCGACCATGGCTTTCGTGTTTGAATAATACGACCCTCGGAAATTTGCGACGTCCGTCTCGGTGAAACCCGGTCCGCCGACGGGGTGTTCGTCGTCGTAGGAATAAATGCACCCCGTCGCGAAATTGGTGACGTGGATTCCTCGCGAACGCGCGATGTCGATGAGGTTCAGTGTTCCCAGGACATTCGTCTGCACGACCTCGCGTTTGTGGCTTTCACACCAGTCGACGTTTGGACGCCCCGTGATTCCAGCGGCGTTCAAAATGTGAGTGGGACGACAACGGTCGATGTCTTCTTGAACGCCTTTTCCGTCGTGCAAACGCGCGGCGCCGTAAAAGTATGCAAGTTTGCGATCCGCGAGTAAACGACCCAACATCCCACCGATCCAACCCGTTTTCCCGTAAATGAGAAACGTCACGGCGGGCGTTGACTTTTCATCCACGAGCTCTTCGGGCGCACACGCATCGTTCACGTCGGCGAGAGTATGAAGACTCGTAGAAGAATGAGTAATCGTCAGGGATGGATGCGGCGTTAACGCCGGAGCAAAGTCACCCCAGAACGACCGTAAATCTTCCGTCGAGTACCATTCGACAGTCTTTCGAAGACCTTCTTCCCACGACACTCGCTGTGTCCAACCGAGAGCGAGAAGTTTTGAACAGTCGATGAAATATCGCCTGTCGTTGAACGCGCGGTCGCGAACGTGCGTGATGGTTTCCGTGGGATCACGACGCAATATTTCACAGATATCCCGAGCGACAGACAACACCGTGCGCTCTTCGTGTGCGCCTATGTTATAGACGTGCGACACGGTCCCGCGATGCAAGATGCAGTCAAACGCCGCGGCGGCGTCGTCCACGTGCATGTACGACCGCGTGGCGAGACCATCGCCGTGCAAGGAAATTTTTTGACCAGTCGCCGCGAGAATTGAAAACTTTGGAATCGCCTTCTCTGGATACTGGTTCGGGCCGTAGACGTTGTTCCCGCGCGTGATTATGAACGGCAATCCGTACGAACGTCCGTACGCCATGACGAGCATTTCTGCGCCGGCTTTCGTGGCGGAGTACGGATTCGTGGGCGCTAACAACGACGCGTGCTCCGTGTTGGACGAATCGTGTTCAAAAGAACTTTCACCGTACACTTCATCGGTCGATACGTGTACGAACCGCGTGACGGTCCCCGCGCGTTTCGTCGCTTCTAATAGCGCGTGCGTGCCTTCTACGTTATTCTTCGTGAACTCGAACGAGTTCCCGAAAGAGTTATCCACGTGACTTTGGGCGGCGAAATGTAAAACCACGTCGATGGTGTTCTTCTGAAAGATAAAGTTCAGAAGATCGACCGAGCGAATATCGCCCTTAATGAATTCCACGTTTAACAGATGTCGCGTGCTTTCAAGATTTTTCATACTCGCGCAGTAGTCGAGCTTATCGAGCACTACGATCTGTGCATCGGAATGCGCGTCGACGTCAGTCACGCCTCGATCGAAGAGTAGTTAGTACTCCAACTCATCGAGTGGTGTTTCGTACCTTGTATTTCGGATACTTCTCCGCGAGCAAGCGCACGACGTGCGAGGCGATGAAACCCGCACCACCCGTGAGCAGAATAGTTGTCGACATCGGTTTCACAAATCGTCGTCCGTTTGCGCGTATTCGCAAAATTTCTTGGCTCGCACACGTCTGGAGTGCACCGCGCGGTGTAAACGTGTGTTCGCACTGACGTATTTTTTAGTCGTCTCTCCTTTGCATTAAGACCTAAGACCTAAGACTGCTTTTGATGACTGTTTTTCTCACTACTTTTCCTCACTCAGAAGCCGTCGCGCGCGCGTTTCGCGACGACCACGCGCCCGTGACGTCGCGCCCGGGCACGCGTGGAAGATGACGCGTATGTCTCACGATTAACGCGGTACCGTTCAAAAGGCGCACGCGGTTCGATGGCGACACGCACCCGATTCATGAGGAAACGGTTCTCTCCGCGCGCGCTCGCGGCCAAGCTCCTACCGCTCACACTCGGCGTTCTCGCGTCGCAGTTGTATTCGCTCAAGTTTGACGATGTTCGCGTGAAGACTGCGCGTACGCGCGACGCGTATCCTTCCGTCGCGTGCTGGATCTTACGAGCGAACACACCGCGAGATCTGGCGCGCGGCGACGCGATTCGTCGCGGATGGGGCAAGACGTGCGCGCACTTGGAGTTTATCGATCGCGACACGCCTGGAATACGCGTCGATTGGACGGAGACCTACGACGCGTTATCGGCGAAGAGTTGGAGGGCGTGGACGTTCATGTACGAGAAGTACGCAAACGCGTCGTTCGCGAACGCGACACGCGTCGATTTCGTGTTAAAGGCGGATACCGATACGTACGTGCACGGCGCGCACTTGTTGCGGTATTTAAATCGTTTCGACGCGACGTTGCCGCATTACATCGGTCGACAATTCGTCGAGCGCGGCGTCGCGTTCGTCGCCGGCGCGACCATCGTGCTCAGTCGAGAGGCGTTGCGACTCGTCACCGTGGCGAGTCGCGACGGCGTGGGCGCGTGCGCGCGGGGAAAATTTACGGCGACAAAGGCTGAGGACGTCGCGTTAGCGTTGTGCCTTCGAGACGTGGGCGTGTATCCACACAACTCGCGCGACGCCTCGGGGGCGGAGCGGTTCATGGTGTTCAGTCCGCAGCGCATGCGCGCTGGATCCGAAGGCTTACCGCGCTGGTACGTCAAACGAAGCTTGAGCGCAAAGCAAGGTCCGGGGTGCTGCAGTGACGAGGCGATCTCTTTCCACTACGTCTCGACGGACGAACTCGCGCGCGCGCGACTCGTTCGCGTGCACGGCGCGTGGTCGTGGACTCCCGCCGTCGCGTCAGAGCCCCCACCGCCATGAGCGGTATGACACGCGCACATGTTTCAGCTCAGTTAGTATGTATCAGTGACGTCATTGCACAGAGTGAGTGAAGACTGCGTGCGTAGAGTTGAATGAAGAAACGCGTGGGGTTTACCCTTTTGGATACGCGAAGGATCACTACACCTACCCGTCGTTCGCGCCGTTTATGCGGTCATCTCACGCGCGGTAGCGCGAAACATACCGCTGTACTTGTGCGTATTACCAATCGCATCGTCATCGCGTCACGCAATCTGTCGAGCCCGCGCGACTTTTATCTAATTTCACCGTCCCGTCAAAGCGCTCGACCCCGAATAACTCACGCGTTCTTCGTGAGACACGTCCACGCACTCGGCGGCGGAAGATCGACGTCGGCGGCGATGAACATCCCCTTGGCGCGCATCGACGCCCGCGCGCGCGCGTAGTAGCGCGCGAACACGACACACTTGACCGTCCCTTGCAGTTCCGCGAGACGAATGATGAAATCGCCCGCCTCGTAAAACCACGGCTGCGCGTCGAACGCGCACGCGTGCACGATCTTCGTCCTCGCCCGAACGGTGTTCGCGTTGGGATAAACATATCCACGCGCGCCGGCATCGCGCCATCGCGTCGACGCGTAGAGGTGATGCAACGCGCGCCGTTCGTCCTCGAAGACGCGCTCGCGCGCCCAGAGTTCATCCAGAAACCGCAGCGTCCAAGGCGTATTTCTTCGCACCAACCGCACCCCGCAGTGCACCCCGTTTGCATCTGCGGCGAGGACTTGATCGTAGTCGAAATCGACGATGTCCTCCAAACCCGTCTCGGGGTTCATCACGACGGCGTCGACGTCCACGTAGAGCAAAAAATCGTACCTCGGAAGATGCTTGCGCATCGCCAAGAGTTTACTCCAAGACCTCGTCGGTGTGCTTCCATCGATCACGTCGGCGTGGACGATGAAATCGTACCCGTGCGCATCGGCGTACGCCTGTTTATTCGCCATCGACGGCGCGCAGATCGCTTGTCGGTCGCTTTCCGGGAAGATTCGTCACGTCCGCCGGTCGCGCGTCGCGCAGGAATTCGCGATCGACCAATCCGCTCGGCACCGCGGTGTCGGTCGCGCACGGGATCGGTCGATCCATCGGACGCGTCCATCGTCTGAGGTGGACTTTAAATCCTTGAGCGAGCGTTCGAGCGAACGGGCCGAGCGCCCAAAGCACCGAGATCGCGAACACCCACCGCGCGCGACTTCTCGTGAGCGATGGATTCCTACCTAAAGTTTGGGTGGAGACCGACGTCGCGTCCGATCGACCGTTCGCACCGATTCGCGCGGCGCTCCAGAATCGTCTCGTTGAAGAAGACGTCGTCGTCTCGGCGATTCCTTGATCGAATTCCCTCCCGTCGCTACGACGTGACCTCGCGCGCAAATTCATCGCTCGAACCGTGCGTTCAAACGATCCATGCGTTAAAGATGCGCGCGGCGCGACGACGTTTGACGTGAGAAAACCTCACGACGGTCGGAAATTATCTGATTTAGGGCAACAGGTTTGTTCCTTCGCGCTGTCCTTTGACGCCGCGACGACATCACTCGACGAGGTGAATACAGCCTCGTTGACGCGTCGACGACGCGACCTTTCTCTTCACACTCGTCGCGACTGGTCTTCTCGTGGATTCTGATGATTTCGCCCGATCCCACAAAAGTACAGTTGGCGTTCGCGTGGGCGCCAGCCCCTCATTTGCGTTCCTGAATTGCGAAAACACTACCGGTATCTCGCGAAACTCAATATAGCCATTGGCTGAGGGTAGCTGGATCAGTGATAGTACCAAGTATCACGACCCACTCGTCGTGATACCACCAAGCTAGTCAGGGGACCGACCCCTCACTCTCGAGCACATGCACGAAACCGAGAACGACGATTCCGGAGTCACAATCGACGCCGACACCGTCCTCGATGTCACGGCTCGCGTGCGAGTGTCTCAGAGCGTGAACATCGCGCGAGCGGTCATCCTATCCATCGCCTGGGCGTGCACCAGCTCCGCGCTGATCTTTCTCAACAACCACCTCCTTCGCGAGCACGGCTTCTCGTATCCGATGATCCTGTGCTCGATGGGCATGACATCCTCTTGGTTGATCTCATTCGTATGCATCACCACTGGGCGGGTGAAGCGGAAACACGCTGGGTTGATTACGCGCGGGTGGTACGCGAGACACATTCTTCCGATCGGTTGCCTCGGCGCGGCGTCGCTGGGATTCGGAAACTATGTGTACCTGTACCTAAGCGTGAGCTTCATTCAGATGTTGAAAAGCGCGGTGCCGGCGGTGACGATGGCGGTGATGTACGCGGCGGGATTGGAACGACTGCACGGGACGACGCTCACGGGCGTGGCGGTGGTGACGATTGGGACGTTCATAGCGGCGTACGGAGAGGTCAAGTGCAGCGCGATCGGGGTGTTGATGATGATGACGAGCGCGTTTGCAGAGGCGATTAGAATGGCGTTTTATCAGTACGTTTTGGGAAATTTGAAGTTTGATTTGATGGAGGGGCTCTACGTGACGGCGCCGGCTTCGCTGGCGTTTCTCAGTTTGGGCATCGTAACGCTCGAGTTGAATCAATTCGTGCGAGAGAGGGGATGGGAGATCATCGCCGCGGCGCCGCACTATTTCTTAGCCGCGGCATTCATGGGTTTCGCGGTGAATATTCTCACGCTCGGGGTGATCAAGGCGACGAGCGGGTTGACGTACAAAGTTATGGGTCAGGCAAAGAACGCAGCGGTGATACTCCTCGCGGTGATGCTCTTCGGTAATCCCGTGACGACCGTTCAGCTCATCGGGTACGCCATGTCGTTGTTTGGGTTCTTCATCTACCAGCGGGGGAAGACGCAGCAAGATGCTGAAGAGGCGGAAAAGGAAAATTAGTTTTGCAGCTGGATGCACCTGGAAATCGATTGAGTGGTCACGAGAACGCTCAAGACACAAGGAAAGCGCAACTCATGAACACATTACATCTTCACTGGTACGACCCGTTTCGTATTACATAACAATGTTACGCCACGCAGACGGCGGCCAGTCGTCTGAAGGTGAGTACGGGGATCGAGAGTAGACACTGTTCCAAGCCGTTGCGTTGTTGAACATGTTAGTCTAGTCTGTAACCGCAGATACGTTCCACATGGTGATGCTAGCGTTGTAACTCGCATGATAAAAGCGTCATCATCCTCTGTCCTCGTGGAGGAAATTGACCGAGGTGGCTCGACCAGTATTCCTTATGTGCTCGGGCTCTCTGCGTATGCCAGAAGAACCGCAATTTCGGTACAGTGTGTTTCTGCCATTCGTCTAAGGCTGCTACCTCAGCTGCACCTTTTGATCTCATTGGTATGAACCACATGTATCGAGTTGCCTCGTCCGTGAGAGTGATGCCGTACGCTACTCCTCGTACTGCGGCCATCTCGTGCACGAAGTTCACGTCTTGCAGCAAGGCGACCGGGGTTGCGACGAGCCGTGGCGACGAGGCGAAGGTGCAACTCAGCTATGAAAAAGGGCCGTTGATGTTGGAATTCACAGCGACTGTAATCCATGATTCAGGAATTAATACTGTCAGTCGAGACATCTGGTGATGGAAACGTGCCGATACTGCTTCATGTAGTTCAAAAAAGCGCTATCAAAGCGTCGCAAGCCGCCAATTCGTTTCCTAAATGCTTTAGAAAAATCAAACCACTCTGGAAAGTTGTCGTCGTATGCCTTTAGAGGCGCTTGTTCCATGCGAGAAATGCTGCCCTTATCATTGACAGCATCGACCGACTGCCCTTCTATTTGCCTTTCATCCAGATGCTCAACGACAAGTGACGTCAACATACATGGGACTCGATATGTTTCCGTAACACGTTTGATCCACTCTTGAGCTGCTCCGCACCACATTATATCCGGGCCGAAATCAGATGAAAACCTGGTTTGACTGGGGTTATAGAATGGATGAAAGTACTTCTCATCTAATATGATGCTAAAATACAATGACGACTCCGAAGAAGATGACGAGCATGGTCCCGTGAACGACGCCATAGGTGGCGCAGCATGCGGCAATGACGAGGGTCCCGATGCAGAATCCCATGGCACCACAAGTACCCGCGTTGTCGGCTCTGTCCGCACTCGTAATCGCCCCTCAGAGCTGTCACATGAATGCGCGCGTCGCTCGTCGACGCGCGCTCGCAGCGAGCCCGCTCATGTGAACAACGACACCCTACAGCAGCGGTCAAACGTCGTCGATCACGCGTCAGAAACGCGTCAAATATGGGGAAAACGTAAAAGGCCCGATGCTTTGCTTCGAACGTCGCATCCGTCACCCGAGGAACCACTCACGCGAGATCGTTCACCCCGTCCGCCGCGCGCTCGCGCCGTCGCCCAGAGAGTTACTGATGCAGATGCAGTTGCTGAAGCCGATGTCCGCGAGCAAAAACGACTCCGGAGAAACGAACAATCCCGGTTGAGTAAGGCCCGTGTCCGTGCGAAGAGGATGGCCGAAAAAGCGGCCCCAACCGACGCTCGACAGGTGCTCATGACCATCACCAACATGAGGTAGTAAAAACTTTGAATTCTTGGACCGCTCAAACGCGACCCCCGCCGTGCGCGCGATCACCATACACGTCCGTCGATCCCAGAAACACGCGTACCATAATGCTCATCACGATTTGGAGCGCTTCTACCGCCCGTAGGACGCTCAGACTGCACGCGACGTCGGTAGATGCGCGACGATGGCGCGTGGTGTCGCCGCCACGTCAAAATTCAAGAGATCTTCACACACCCGTCGACGCGACACCCGGCCTTCGAATATCGTATCGACACGCGAACGACGTCGATATGATTTTAATGCGAACATGTCTCCGTGCTGCGGGGGCAAAACACGAGCCCCGCCGCCGCACGCACGGAGAACTGTCGTCCATCGTGAACCCTGGACCGGCTCTCTCAACCGTTTTTCGTTTTTCGTTTTTTATTTTCAGTGTATCATTTTTCAAGAAGGACAAAAATTGAACTTTGACGAAGCATAGCGGACGAACGCGCGCACGAAATACGTCGAACGTCGGGATTCCGTGAGAGGGCGTTTTGATCTTTAGAACGCGACATTCATCTTTGCAAACTATCAAGTAGACGCGCGTCGACGACCCGACGAAATCAGGTGTATCATTTTTTCACCCTCTATTGCCGGATCTACGGTATTGGAGAACAAGTTTCATAATGTCGCATACAAGGGTCCAGGCGAGATGGTCACATTCTTTTCAGAAAAGAGAAAATGTTTTGAACGCCTACCCAAGGCGACTATGATACGATTGAACCAAGGCAAAGAATTGGAAGTTGCGGTGGATGAGAATATGGCCGTTGCTGGAGTGCAAGTGCCAGGAAGAAAGGTCTCACGGTACATCGGACTTACACAATCTCTTGTAGCCAATATCATGGCTTCAGAGAACTCTCGTCTACAAGTACGCCAAGGTTGCCAAGATATAATGTCTCGTGGCCGAAGCCTCAATGAGAGGAGCTGACGTTTATACCGCAGACGTTTCAGAAGCATACGTAGCCGCTCCCATCGGCGTGCGACTGTACATGCGCATGCCCCCAGAGATGGAAGAGAACCACCCTGACTCCGTCCTTCTATTGCACATGAGCCTATACGGAGCCAAACAGAGCGGACGTAATTGGTTCCAGGAGGCGTCAAGAATCCTCTGCGATGAATTACACTACGATCAGTTGCAGAAAGATCCATGCAAGTTCGTAAAGTGCAACGCCGACGGATCACTACGCGAATCCATCTTGCTCTACGTAGATGACTTCCTCTTCTTGGGAGAATTACAATATTTCAACGCATTCATGGACAGCATGAGTAAGCACGTGGAGATATCGGCAGGTCCGCGGAGCCGCGACGTCATCAAGATTTGGAATGGACTCGAGATTCGAAGACTTCAAGACGGCAAGATAGTAGCAATGTCTTTTCAGCCTACCGGTACCTAGGTAACTAAGTCAACACCAACACGACGATGGGTGCATTTCGATGATTTTCCATGACTGTTGCCGAATACAATCAAGATACTTGGTTATCTGTCTGAATATTTGCGTGGCACGTTTGCAAAACAAATGTGTCTCGGCAATTTGTGCAACCGGAATCAAGTTCGTCAAAGCACTTTTTGACAATTGCCACACACGACTTCACGTCTAATAGTTCGTGAAGAGCTTTATACATCTTCTGTGATTGACAAATGAAGTGCGTCACACCAGGAGATCTCTTCTCTCTGTTACAGAGGAAAGGGGAGTCGTCACTACTCCACGGCTCCACACTTTCACTTGCTAGGCGATTAAAGCAGATTCCCGCGAGTTCGATGATTGGGTCATTATGGGTCATATTATATCGCTTATGTTTTATATGTTCAATGAGTGACACTGTGAGCCTTTCATTCGATGAAAGTCTTGATGTACGTGAAAAAATATCTTTGTGTGACGTATGTACTCAGCATACAAGGGATTTCGGTAAAAAGTATGAAAAATGTTAATTTTCGTGTTTGCGCGCGTCTAGCGTCGCGACGCGTGCGCCGATTGCGCTCATTCGAGAATATATTTTAGGAAAACTTACGAGCTTTCCAACGAGCCATCGCTCGTCGTCTCTCGCTCAGTATCGCGTCGTCGAGGTTCGGACGAAAATCATGAATTTTCGTGTTAATTTTCTGAAAAATAATGGTTCGAGCCGATGGTGAATTTTGGAGCGCCTCAGGGTCTAGATTTGACGTCTTCGACTCGATATAGCGACGTCGTGCGAGCGCAGCGCTACGTGAAACTTTGCATCATGATTTGAAATACATTTTTGTACACTTCGTAAAAGTTTGAGATTATTCCGCGACGATCTGGCCGACCGCTTCGTCGCCGGCAAGTTGCGCTGTCGTGGTGTCTTCCTGACACGAGACCTCGCAATGCGCGCTTTCAGTGAGCGTGGCGGGCGTTTGCCGTGGTCTTTTCGGTTTACGCCCAATCTTGACGCTTGGTGCGTTCAAGTTTGCTTCGTAGAGCCGCTCATCAACCTCTTTAAGCTTGTTTCGTAAGCACTCCAGGCTCGGTGCTTGCGGGAGCTCAATTCGCTTTGCGCGCATCACGTGTATCAGTTCTTTTTTTGTAAGCGACTTCTCCAGCGAACCAGTGGCTTCGAAGCGTTCATACAGCGCCTTGACGAAGTCAACGGCGTCCGTATTGCTTTTGTATCGGCCGTCGCTGGTATCTTTAGCTGCATCGTGCGTTCTCTTCTTCGTTTTCTCTCGCTTGTCGCGGTCAGCTGCGAGGCGGGCCATCACTGGTTCCGTCACCTCGTCGAAGCGGTCGTATCTACGACTTTTCCGCTTCTTACGCACCGTTGTGACCACCTTACTTGTTATTTTCGCCATCGCATCTTGAAACACTTGGTTGATGATGTTTCGGTCGGCGTCAGCGATGTTCACAGTGTTCACATTCTCGAGCACTTGCTTCATAGTTTCGATGTTCAGCGGCGCTCTCGCGAACGACTCTGGACTACCATCGAAACTCATGTTGAACGTGGAATTGTCAGAGCGAGCGATCACTCTTAATCCAGGGGCTCCTGGAATAGATATGCGCTCGGCGCACCGCTCGGCGCGCGACTCCGCGTCAAGTACACGAGCGTCCTCAGGCTCCTCGGGGCGCTCGCGAACGTGATCTGGAAAGTGCTTCCAAAACGGCGCACGAGTGAAAGGGACAAGGCCTTGCATTTTCAATCCCTTTCCAACTGCCTCTTTCGTCCAGGCGCCCTTCCATGCCTCTCGGATGGCGTACCAGAACTCGCACTGGCCAAATGAAACCGCCACACCCTCGCGCGTGACTTGCTGTATGAACCATGCTGACGCGAGTGACTTCGCAGCTTCGATCTCAGCACGGATAAGTCGAAACGAACCTTTGAACTTGCCGAAGTGGTACAAGTCTTCGCCCTGTAGAAGATGCGTGCAGTGAGGCGGGAGCACGATCAGTAGAATCCCCATCGCCGCGCATAACTCGACAACTTCGTCCTTGACGTGCGTGTAGGCGCCGTCACAAATCACCATGGCCGGATTCTCCTTGGATAAGTCTGGAATACATGGCGCCAGATGATCCCTCAGATACGTCGCGAACGCGTACGCGTCGAACGATCCTTTCTTCGTGCCTCGGACCCATTGAGCCTTTTGGCACTCACCCGTGGTGGTGTCCACGATAGTTCCGGGGATGTCAAAATCATCATCAACATCTGGCTCCTGATTGCAAACAAAATAGGGTGCGAGCGCTTCACCGGCAAGATTTCTGCAACCCATGACGGATGCCGAGAAAGCATTGTTCGCCGTGACCGCCGGACGCTGGTTATCTTCGCCGCGAATAACCAACAAGCGCACACCCCGCACACCCTTCTCGTAGGCGAGTTGCACCTTCGCCTCGTCAAGCGTGAACACGCGGCTCATCTTCGATTCAATCCAAATGATCATCTCACTGAGTTTAGAATTCACGTCGAAGTCGGCATTCCAAACCGCGAAGCCGTATCGGACCGCCGTGCGCGCCACCCTTTCGAAGAAGTTTCGCACGTTGTGCTCAGTTGCCGAGTTCGCTCTCAGCGCATCCAACGGGTTGTACAGAGACGATTCGATGCCGTTCTTTGCGATGAATCGATAGAACCAAGCCGATCCGAGTGCGTTCAGAGGTGCAACTGAGCCGTGCTCATCGAGATAGAAGTTCCTCGCGATCGATAGAATGGTTGCTTGACTCAAACGTATCCCTTGTCTGATGTAGTGCTTGACAATCTTTGCCAGTTGCTTCACGTACGGCTCGCTCAAGGCGCCCGGCCTTCCGCGACCGTCTTCACACGCGGAGTGATGCGGAATAGGATCCTTGAACGACAGAGCCAAGCGCGCGCTCTCCATAAACGCTTTGGTGACCCGTACACCGACGCGCCGCAATTCGGCGACAGCCTCCATTGCCGTCACGTCACCGCGACTGAATGCGTGCACCGTTTGGACGAAGAACGGCTGTGGATTCCGTACGTGCTCTGCATGGCGAGTGCGAGCAAGATCATCCGCGACGTCCATGGTGTTTTCCGACGCATCCGAAGTCGAAGCGCACTCTTCAGTGACCAGCGCGTGCGCCTCGCGCTTCACGTCCTCCTCTTCCATCGATCGCCTCACGCGGTTGAGGAACGCGTGTTGCTTGATCAACCCATACGAGAAGCTCACAGTGACGAGAAATAATGCCGTAGCGTTCACCTTTGCGATATTCTCTGGAGAAAGCGCCCGGCGACGTTTGTTTGCGAGCAAAGCAACAGCGACTTTGCGAGCATCCTTGGCCACTTGGACGCGCCCATCTTCGTCGTACCGAACTGGAGCCGCCGTCGCCCCTGCTGCGCGCGCACGCGCCTCCGATCGCGGAGACGACTTCTTAGAGCCGTTACGTGCCGTCGACCCGGTCGGCGACGCGCTCCGGCGCGCGCGAGGGCCCGTCATGCGCGGCAGAATCTGCTCGAAAGATTAACACGCCCATCGAGCTCCAACGGTCGTCTTCCGTCAACACCCACGCGCTGAATTCAAATTTAAACGGTCGGATCTCGCGAGAAACGGATAGATGATGTCCCTCCGCGCCGCCCGGGCGCGCGCGCGACGCGGAGTGACGAGCGACGGCGCGAGAAAACGCGCATGTTAATTAATTCAGGTTTTTTCGACACATACATTATTTTCGAAATCCCTAGTAAAGTTGTGTATTGTAAAAGTGTGTGTTGTACTCGTAACGGGCGGATAGATAATAGGCATACGACGCATCCTCGCTCTTTCGATGCATCACTCTTAGATTTCCGGACCGCCGGGCATGTGGAACTCATCGGCGAAAGCCTCAACCTCAGCCCTCAACTCGGCGATGGCCGGCACGTCGTTGGCTTCTAAATACGCCTTGAAATCCTTCAACTTACCGCCTTCGGTCTTACCCTTGATATCGATAGCGATATTGACGCCCTTATCGATGAGGTCGGCGACGCGAATGAAATCCGCCTCCGTCATGCCGCGCGTCGTCATCGCCGGAGATCCGATGCGGATGCCGCCCGGGACGAGCGCAGAGGTGTCGCCAGGAACGGAGTTCTTATTCAACGTGATGTGGCACAGGTCGAGGATCTTCTCAACGCGCGCACCGTCCACGCCCTTCGGACGCAAATCACACAGCACCAAGTGGTTGTCGGTACCGCCAGAGACGAGCGTGTATCCGAGTTCCATCAAGCGCTTTGCCATTGCGGCGCAGTTCTTGATGACTTGCTCTTGGTACTTGACAAACCCGGGAGTTTGCGCTTGCTTGAGCGCCACAGCCAGGGCACCGATGGTGTGGTTGTGCGGGCCGCCTTGGAGACCCGGAAAGACGGCAGAGTTGACGGCTTGCTCGTGTTCCTTCCTGTAGAAGACCATGCCGCCGCGCGGACCTCTAAGAGACTTGTGCGTCGTCGTGGTGACAATGTCAGAGTACTTGAAAGGATCGTCCGCGAGCTGAGCGGCGACGAGACCGGAGATATGGGCCATGTCGGACATCAGGTATGCGCCAACCTTGTCGCAAATCTCGCGCATGCGCTTGTAATCAAAGTTACGAGCGTACGCCGAGGCGCCAGCGATGATCAACTTCGGTCGGAAAAGCATCGCGTTCTCCTCGAGCTTGTCGTAATCCACCAAACCCGTGGCCTCGTTCAAGCGATACGGCATCGACTCGAAGTACACGGACGTCGCGGAGATCTTCTTCTTCGGCGTATAGAAGCCGTGCGTGAGGTGACCGCCGTGCGGCAAGTCGAGACCCATGATACGCTCGTGCGGCTGAAGAAGCGCGGTGTACACCGCAAAGTTGGCCGGGGAACCAGAGAGCACTTGTACGTTCACCCCCCATTCCGCCGGATCGAGGCGGTAGGTGCTCAGCGCACGGTTTTGACACAATCGCTCCACCTCGTCGATGAACTCGTTCCCGCCGTAGTACCGCTGTCCCGGCAAACCCTCCGAATACTTATTCGTCAGGCACGACCCGTTCACCTCCATCACCGCCTTGCTCGTGAAGTTTTCACTCGCGATCAGCTCCAACCCGAGCCTCTGTCGTCGCTTCTCCTTGAGCAGGATCTCGTGCAGCTCGCCGTCGAGCTCTCGCACCGAGACGTCCTCGAACGGCTGCGGCTTGGCCCTCCCGACGACCGCTCTCGAGCGCGGATTCGCGACTTTCATCGACCCGGACGACCGCGCGGACACCGTCGCGCGCCCATCCCTCCGAGCGGTCGCGCGCGCGCGCGCGGGCGCGAGAGACACCGTCGAAATCATGACGTCGACGACTCGAGTTTAAAAACCACACGCGCGCGCGTGAATGCGGTGAAGCGCGCGACGGTGCGACCGCGATCGACGCGCGCGCGCCGCGACGGACGAAGAGACCGCGTGGAACGCGTCGACGCTCGTGCGCGCGCGCGGAGTGCGGCGACGCGGCGGCGTGGACGCGATGACGGCGCCGCCGGGGGGGCGGTTATGGACCTAAACCCGCGTGTGTGGTGACGCGCGCGTGCGGACCGGGTGGGTTTTTGGTTCGCGCGCACGCGCGGGACGACGCGAGCGCGCGTTTGAATTGAACGCTACGGCTAAGCGCGAGCGAGGACGATGGATACGCGTTCACGACCGCGCGCGCGCGCGGTGCCTCGCTTTGAGGATGTTGAAACGGATGATGAGGGCGTCATGGGAGCGCCCGGCGCACGCGGCGCCGGGCTCGGTGAGCTCGTGAAGCGGGACGCCGAAAGCGGCCGCGCTTACGATGGCGGCGTCTTGGGCCTCGGTAAAAGACGACGCGTTGGCGTTCGTACGATCATTTACCGTCGACCTCGGGTTTTCCTGCGCGTCGGAGTCGGAGTCGGAGTCGGAGAGTTTGTCGCGCTCGTACGCGCCGGCGGCGCCGGCGGCGTCCTCAGAGTCAGAGTCGGCAACCTCTTCACGATCGACGTGATCGTTCTGCGACTGCGCTCCTAGACGCGCTTGGAGACGAGCGATATCTGATTTCGAAGATGGCCAGTTGCCACGTCGGCTACCCGCGAGCGCGGTTCCGGGCACGTCTCCACCGCGAAACTGGCTTCGCCAGAGTGTGAACGCGCACTTCGGTGGGCGCTCTTTCAGACGCGCGCACACGGCCGACCACAGCGATCTGTAGTACACCGAACACTGCAGGTTGGGCTTTTTTGGCGCCGCAAATTCGTGTAGAGTGCGCTGAATGATGTCGATCTCGTTTTCATCGAGAGGACGGAACGCGTGATCGTAAGCTCGTCGAAGCGCTCCGCCGACTTGTGTGTTGTCGTGAAACCTCTGCGTTCGCAAAGATTTCAAGCGGCGGCGAACGTCGATTCGTTCGCTGTTCACCAAGAGTTGATTCACTATGCTGGAGTAATCGTTGCCGTAGTGTTGGACGCCCACGACGATCAACCAGTCCTCTGCGTTTGTGAACTCGGCCGACGAGTGTTCCGCGAGCGGCGCTCCGCCAACGAGGAGCTTGGGGTCGGGTGAAATTCGAGGGATGAACGCCTTCGTCACCTCGTACACGGCTCGAGAAATCGGCGTCCACGTCTTGAAGCGATTGGAAAATAGCGGATTCGACTTTGCCGCTTTCTTTGGTCGTGAGATGTTCTTGTAGAAAGCCACGGTTTCCTCCCATGTCTTGGGCGCGTTCCGGAACAAATCGTCTGCACGTACGAATTCGGGAGAATTCGAAGGCACCATCTCCGCCAACTGCTGTGCTGTGTATTTGTTCGACACGAGATCGAGCATCTGTCTCGGATTTCTCCATAAGATGGGTGAGTCGGACGTGGACGCGGCGGCGCCAATCGCCGTGATGAAATCACGAGCGCATCGCAGTGGCTGGCAGTCGAAAACTGTGTACACCCCTTTTCTGGGTTGGTGTCCGTACCAAACCGCATTTTCATCGTCCGCTGATGCTACGGCAAAAAGTGACGCATCGTGAGCTCTGTGCTTGTCGTTCCTCAGGCGTTGATACTGCATCGACGCAGCTTGCTGTAGCCTGATGATGAGAATGTTAACCGCCGTCGCCGTCTCCACCTGATCCGGACGACCGACGCTCAGAGCCAACGTTTGAAATAACAATTGCGTGTGTTGGTGAATCTGCTGGTTCAGTCTCGTGACTTGATCGGGTGAGAACGAGCTCGCCGCGAGCGCAAAGCGCACAGAACGTTCCTTGTTCAACTGTATTGAAGCCTCCCTCTTGCGCTTCATCACTCGCATGTTCGCCATCGAGGGCCCGGTCGCGACTCTCTGTGACCTTCTTAGCACCGATGCCGGCGCGCTCGTTCCACCTTGTTTCGCCGCCGCACGTCTCTCCGTACGAATTCGATACTCGTACTCTGCCGCGCGAGGA